GGCATGTCCCTCTACAGGAGGAATCTTCCAAAGTAGTCAGAGGACGATGTGTCGATTCTGTTTTGGTTATCTCTGCATATTGGTCGACGACGCTTCCTCGTTCCTCCCAACTCTGCCTGCAGGAGGACGTGCCCGACCTGAGCCTGGCCAGGATCGGCATATATGTGCAGAGATCACTCGGGAGTTAGACAGAGCAGTCGCGCGAGTCTTGTGCGGAGGCCTTGTGCGGGGGACAGCGGTGCGGGGCTCTTGTGAATGCCCCTGGGATTGGACCCGCGCGCGCGTGCTCGCTCAGGAGGAGGGAGGAGCCGCAGAAAAAAAAGCACGATAGATACGGGCCCCTCGCACGAGACCCCTTGAGCGCCTCGTGCGCCGGCACTCTCCGCTCCGCCGGCGCCCTCGTCGTCGTCCTCGTCGCCGCCGTCGTCGCCTCCGTCGTCCTCGTCCTCGTCCTCGTCCTCGTCCTCGTCCTCGTCGCCGTCCTCGGCGTCGGCGCCGTCCTCGGCGTCGGCGCCGTCGCCCTGAGCCTTTCGCGGTCGCGAGGGCACGTCGCGGGGGTGCCCGTTGTCCGCGTGCGAGGGGTCGCGACGCGGGCGGGGCGCCGCGGCCAGGCCCCGACGCCGCCGAGCACCACGCGGGCGCCGAGCGCCCCCCTCGCGCCGAGCCCCCCGCAGCAGCGCGCTGCTGCGGGCTCGGGGTCCGCCGCATCCCCCTCCCCCTCCTCCCCCTCCCCCTCTTCCCCCTTCCCCCTCCTCCTCCTCCTCCTCCTCCTCCTCCTCCTCCTCCTCCTCCTCCTCCTCCTCCTCCTCCCGACACCGCTGCCCTCGCCTCGTTTTGTCTCCTTCCTGGGCCGCCTGGGAGGCCCGCGTCGCCTCCGCCGGATTCGCCTCGAAGTTCTGGTCAGAGCGCGCCACGGGAGAGGTCCGGGGAGTTGAGTAGCAGTATCAGTACTTGGTGGTTTCCCCGATGCAGACTTTCCGAGTCCGTGGGCACAAGCTGGCACGAGGCTGGCGCAGGTGCCGGTCAAAGCAACGGATGGGGCGCAAAGAGCCGCTCAGAACGTGTAGTATATCACAGTCGTGCAGGCCCATGCAGGCAACCAACACCTGGAAGGAAGCAACATCTTGGTGTCATGGCGTCTGCATTTGTTCGAGCCGGACGTTTTCGCGTGGTTGTGGGCCCCAGGGCCCTCAGATGTTCATCCAGCTCAGCAGATGGCGCAGAAAGATGGGGTCTAGTGCTGCGGTCGTGATTTCTCACGATGCTGCATTTTTTTGTTCGCAACTTCGGACCTCAGGATGGAAGGAAAGCAAGACCGAGGATTCGGTTGGTGGACGAAGTCCTGGGCCTCCCTCGCCGGGCCTCGGGACCGCGCAGGAACAGCGCGGAACGGGGGGGAGCGCGGGGCCCAGGCAGACATCCTACGCAGCGCAAGCAGTCTTTAGCCAGCGTGGATCCCGAACAGTTTGCTCTAGCATACTATGGTGGTGCAATCTACGTGATCAACTTATGTTGTGGAGCATACTTGGTACAAGCTACGTGGTGGAAGTTTAGTGCTCTAAGCTATGCTGTGCAAGCTATGCGGTGCGCGCTATGTTGTGCAGTCTACGTGTTGCAAATTGCGTGGTGGAAGCTATGTGAAGCAACATACGTGATGCATGCTGTGTGGTGGAGTTGTGTGGTGCAATCTATGTTGTGGAAGCCTCATGTTCAAGCTATACTGTGCAGCAAAGTATGCGTCGGAGGCTATGCGGTACAACCTACGTGGTGCAAGCTATGTGGTGTAGGACATGTGGTGCAGGCTATGCGGCGTAGGCAATGTGGTGCAATCTACGTGGTGCAAGCTATGTAGTGCAAGTTACGTGGTGCAATCTACGTGGTGCAAGCTATGCAAGCTACGGGGTGCAAGCTATGTGGTGCACGATCTTGGTGGTGCAAGGGAGGCTATGTGGTGCAAGCTAGTTGACGCAAACCAGTTTATATATATATATATATACACACAAGGCGACGCACAGCAGTGCAACGAAATACAAAGCGACGCAAAGCGATGCAAAGCAAAGTAATGCAAATCACTCTACGGTAGCGTGGGGAAGATTAAAGCAATGCGATGCAATTTCAGTGCAACGCAATGCGATTGCAATGCGAAGCAGCGCGGCACCGGGCAGCAACGAGCTGGCAGGACCACCACTGGGGTCCAGTGGCGGCTGTGGCGACGGGCGGCGACGAGCCGGCCAGGTCGGCACCCGGGCCAAGCGGCGACGGCGGCAACGGGCGGTGGTGACGGGCGGCGACGAGCCGGCCAGGGCGGCACCAGCGCAGTGGCCTGCAAAGATCGGCAGGGACCCCTGAGTGCAAGCGCTGCGCGGGGGAAAAGAGTGCCCCAGCAAGGCACCCTGGCAGCAGTGAGGATGAAGATGCGGGTCGAGGAGTACAAGAGGTCGGCTATTTGAAGCCGTACCTTCCCAGGTATTCGGAGGGTGAGGGCACGGCCATGAGCATCGTAGCGTGTGTTGTACCAGCGATCGTGGCCGTCGGGACCAAATCCATGACCATGCAGCCGACATTGAAGCGAGCCCACGATGCATCAACACATTGTAAGACATCTTATCGGGCGAGTCGCAGCGAAGCGGCTGCCGCACGCCTAGGGCTCCCCGCCCCCCCTGTGGGATTCGTCTGTGGTCGTATAGGGACCCTCTAGCGAAATTTCGATTGGGAGGAGGAGGAGGAGGAGGAGGCCTGAGGAGGAGGAGGAGGAGGCCTGCTGAGGAGGAGGAGGAGGAGGAGGAGGAGGAGGAGGAGGGGAGCAGGACAGAGGTTCATCTCAGTTCTGGAGCTTGGGGCCCAGGTGGGCGCGAACCCCGAGTTCCGAAGATGTGCGCTTGTGTTCCAAGCTCGGCTACACGCAAGAGTGACCCTGGGCAAGAGTGACCTTTGGTGCGTGGCTTAACGGGGAACGCGGGGTGGCCAAGCTTGGGCGCGCAAGCCGCCGAGAACGCTTCGCGCTCAGCGATCGAGGGTCCCAGTTCGCCCGCGCCTAAGGTCACTCCAGCGAAGGTTCGCTCCTACGCCTAGTCGATAAGCCTGGCGCGTGTCCTCGATATCGGCCGCTGGAGCCCTGCATCGGGCCCCTTGGGGCCCTCGAGGACGGATCCTGTGCAACGTGAGCTTTTCGGGGCAGGGGCCTGGAGACCTGGGGCCGCGGACTGAGCACACAGAGACAGATCGGAGGACGCAGGGGGCTGCCGCGCATCGCGGGGCGAAGGTCGAAAAGGCTGGCCAGACACGGGGTCTGTGCGCCTGCGTGGCGGAGGGGGTCGGGAACCCCCTTCCCCAGGCATCGGGCCTAGCGGACAACTGGAGGCCGGTTCCGAGCGTCCCTCCCTCTCGCTCTCCCCCTGCCGCTCAGGCCTCCCCTCCGCCGCGCCTCACCGGCGCGGGGAAGGGGCGTGGGGATGGGGGGGGGGGTAGCCTGCTAAGAGGGCAGGTGCTTCTCAGAAGAGGCCGAGGGCTGGTAAAAGGCATCCCTCAGTAGCCTCCGACCCCTTCTCAGAAGAAGCCCCCTGCCCTCTCAAAAGGCCACCAACCTCGCCCCCATCTCCTTGTCCAGGGCGCGTTCCAACCCGAACTTACCGGCGGGTTCTGCCGCAGCGACGAGGGCACCCCCGGAGGCCCCCAGACACGGTCAGAATGTCCTGAAAAGCTGAATCGGCAATCCCGCCCCTCCCCCACGCTTCCTTCCAGCAGTCGCCTCCCTCCCCCTACAAACAATTACCTCCTGCCGACGACGCGATGTGTTCTAGTCTCGAGGCCCGGGACCTCTCGACCTCCCTCCCCACGATGCCCTTTCCATCCTGAGCAGTTGTTGACGCTCCAGGTCCGAGGCGGGGATTTACGCATAACCACCGCCGAAAGGTTCGACCTTCGGGGACCTCGGCAGGCGGTGGATATTGATATATTCGGGTCCCCTGGGGCCCAAACGTACGCGAAGCCCCAGGACGTCGTTTCCTGGGCGGTGGCTCTTGGCAAATACCCCCAAATTGGTTTTCTTGTCAAATCCACGAAAAAGATTTAGAATGTCCAGTAGGTATGCGGAGCATTATATGTATGTGTTGGGGCAAATCGATTACGTAGTCGATTTCTGATTCTAGTAATGGGCGGGCGGTAAGTGGAGGGTGAAGAAGAAAGGTGCACTTGGTGCGCACCTCAGGGGCCCGAAGGCCACCCCCGGGGGCCTCAAAGGGGTACGGAAGGTGCACGTGTCTTTCCCCCCCGTGTATCCCCCTCCGCCCCCTCAGTAAGCAACGCCCTAGAGGGCGGGGAGGGCCAGGACAGGGTAGGACCAATGACGATGCCAATTCGAAGTCAAACTTCACGAGCTTGCGAGCGGATGCCCCTGGCCCAAGCCACGGGAGGAACAGGCGCGCCTCCAGCGCCCAAAGCAAGGCCCAGACTGCAGGGGAGCATCGCATGTTGAGGATGGCAGCCTCGAGAGAGACATGTTTAAGCCACACGCGCCGCCGCGCGAGGAGGGGGAGGAGGAGGTCAGGGAAGGAATTGATAACGATACCGCTGCTCGTCCTGGAGGGCCGAGCCCTCGCCGCCATGGCTGGATCATCTTAGATTTGCGGGTCTGAACGCACCTTGGGGGAGAAGGATGTTCAGGGCGAGGAACATAGAATGTAGGAGGAGGAGGAGGGGGATGATAGCGAGGAGGAGGAGGGCAGGGGTGAGGATGGTTGAGGATGAGGATGATGAAGAGATGGTGGATTGTGAGGACGAGGTGGATGGAGAGAACGAGAAGGACGCTGGGCTGGACAGATGGGGAGCGGTGTGGGTGAGGAAGCAGGAGGTGGGAAGATGAGGACTAGACCTCTACCGGAGGTGGGAAGAGGAGGAGGAAGAGGAGAGGAGGTGGTACACTGTTCTTTGTGATCATCACTGTACTTTGAGGGGAGACCTACGAGGCCCTATGAAGTCCGGGGGGGGACAAGGCGGAGGAGGGCAAGGAGGACCAGGAACAGCACGAGGGGGACGGCACCCGTGGCGCTCGGGCTCAGAGCATCCATGAAGACTTGCGGCCAGAGACGTGGCTCTCGCCGAGAAGTGTGGTCGGCCAAATCCAGACGCCGAAGCTGGGACGCTCAGCGATGCTGCGCGTCTTGGCGGCAACGTGCTGCACCGCAGTGGCGTGGCGGCGTAACGCGGCGCTCCTGGACCTGCAGCCCAAGCTCCAGTCGCTGGGGGGCGAGAGCGCCCGGCAGGCGACCGCGGACGCGGCCAACGTCACCGCGGGACACCAGGCCGCGGAGGAGGTGCACCCGCTAGCGGTTCGGCGGCGCGCACAAAGCGCAGAGGAGGAAGAGGTACCCATACCGCTACCCTGCGCCCGTGTTCCCCGTGTGGGTACCTCCTGGGAGGCGCTCGTCGCCACCGCTGGGTTCGCCCCGAAACCCTGGTCAGACCGCGCCCCAGGAGAGGTCCGGGGGGCAGCGGTATCTCAGAGCGTGAATTACCTACCCCGCTTTCGCTTCCAGGCAAAACCAAGTCATACCACGCGCCAACCTCGTCAAGCGGCCTGACCAGTACAGGCTGTAGTTTGGCATCGCTTGGTATCTCTTGGAAGCGAGGGTGGTCAAAAGCGAGGTAGGTTTGGTTGCCCCCTAGTATCTGTACCTTGTGGTCTCCCCACCACCTTGCGCGCGCCGCCAAGGGGGAGCTCCCGTCTGGCGTCAGCACAGGCCTTACGCTTTACAACATGCTCGGCAGCGCGATGGGTCTGGCCAACTCGGCACGAGTCGAAGACGAAAACACGGCATAAGTATAATTTTCGGCGCTCTGCGCGGACTTTTTGGATTTGCGTTGGAACCCCCAGGCGGCGCCTCTGGCGCTGCCCCTGGCGCGCTCCGCGCACAGGGAGGGAGGTTCAGCTCAGATCCAAGAAATCCGCGCGGACCGTCAAAAGTTAATCTTTATGTCATTGTTTGTTCCTTCAACGAGAGTGGTCGTCAATGGCCAAGTATACCCTCACCTCCGATCTCACGCACAATCTCGACTCGCTGCGCGAAGTGCACGACCTTCTCGTGAAGAAGATACAGCTTGTGCCAGCGGAGTGGCGCGCGACCTGCGACAATTGCACCAACGACGAGCTGGAGGAGGCCTACACGATCAAGCGGAGCTGGGATAGCATGCAAAGCTTTGCAGGCGCGGCCACAGACTGGATCTTGGAGACGGTCGAGAGAGACAGTGACGACTGCCCTCTCCGGCTCAAGAAGTTGGTGGCGAAGATGCGACGGACCATGACAATTCTAGACGTGGAGTGCGATAGCCTCGTTATGCAGCTCGCTGCGACAACAGAACGGAGCGTTGCAGACTACATTCGTTACGGCAACCGTGCTTGCGACCAGGAACATCAGTCAGCCTCAGGGAATGAGGACGTGACCACAGGCTACGACGAGGACGACATCGTATCTTACGATCCACATGAGGGTGGACCCGTGTGGAAAGAGCTGGAAGAGTTCTACGCTCCAGCAGGAACCTCAGGGGTCTGCAGAGAGCTCCCGATTTCGATGCCACGGGAACAGGTGGTGGAAGCTTGCAAGCAGCAGTGTCAGGCAATGGGGGAGTGCAAGGGGTTTACGCTCTACAATGGGACCGTGGCGGACTTCGGCCCACGACGTGCCGAGCTGGACTCCTGGAACCCGCTACTCGACGCTCAGGAGCGCTATGGTCGCTTTGATATGGAGGTTGGCGACGAGATTGGCATATTCAAACAGGGTGCCTACCTCACAGTCAAGAAGTGCCAAAACCTGCCAATCACGCTGGCGCCTTCGCGCACATCGTGTGATAAGTTTGGGCGCCTCGGGCTCGAGTGCGGTCCTCAATTCGTCGGCTGCTTCAGGCGTGAGAGTCTGCACCTCCTTCGGAAGCGCACAGGGACGCGGACCTTCTCGAACCAGTGCTGCTTCACCACGTCTGTCGTTGATGCGGATACGCACGGAAGCGCAGAATGCTACGTACGGTTGCCGGACAATTCTCTGCGGAGTATGAGCTCCGATGACGCCGCCGCTTGGTTGTCTTCTCTGCCCACTGGAGGAAATAAAGCCCTCTCGGAAGCTTTCATCGAGGCGTCAGAGCAGATACAGGCTCAGAATATCAATGGCGTCGCATTGCAGGCGATGGGTTCGCATCAGATTCAAGAACGCCTGGGGATCGCTGAGCCTGAACAGATGAAGATAATGCAGTGCATGATCGATGCGAGTAGGACTGGCAGTTCCGAGTCGGTTTGTCTCTCTTCTGGCTTTATGAATGAATACCAGAGACTTCGGGGCATCGTGGACCCTTACGTCTTCTTTGGAGTGAAAGCGGATTTCTCTTCCAAGGCTTGGGTCGCATCGGCGCTGAGCAGGATCGGGAAGACAGTGAAGAGTTTGTTGAGGCAGAACGCTTGGCTGGTTGAGGCTCCCACGAAAGTTATTGACTTGACATTGGACGTCCATCCAGGAGGCTTATGCCATTCTGCCGACCCCTCACGGCTCTCCCTGGTTTACTCGGGAGCCCAGAGGGGGAGTTTGCGCAATCTAGATGTGCAAGCTATGCGGCGGAAGTTGTCTGGTACAATACATGTGGTTCAGGCTATGTGGTGCGAGCTATTTCGAAGGCCTTACGGCCGGTGCCGCCGACCCTGAAGGGAGACGACGACGAGGATAACGGCGGCGGCGACGACGACAACGACGACGCTGACGACGCTGACGTGGGCCAGAGTCCTCAGGGAATTTCTTGGGGTCTCTTCGGAAGGCGTTCGATGACCTCTGGGGCGAGATTCGGGGGCCTCTTGGGAGCCTCTTGAGGGCCTCTTGGGAGCCTCTCGGGGTTTCTTCGCTTCCTGGGGACCTCTTGTGAGCCTCGTGGAGCCTCTTGGGGACCTCTTGGGGCCTCCTGGGATCCTATCGGGGTCGAGGGCTCGAAATGTCTGTTCGGGTCCCCTGTCTGGGCACGCTCTTGGAGCCGTCATGGGGGCCTCTTTGCCCGCCTTGGAGACGTGTGGGGCGGTCTTGGAGTCCTCTATGGCTGTTAGGGGCCATCTTGGAGGTCTCTTGGGCCGTCTTGGGGCGATCTTGGGGGCCTGTTGCGCCGTCTTGGAGCGGCGGGAAGTGGAAACGGTGATAACGCCCAAAGCGTAATATCAGAGTGAGGCGGCCGAACGGTCATTCATTGTCCCTGGGTGCGTGGCTGACGTGAGAATCCGTGGTGAGGATCATGCCTGTTGCGTTGTTGTTGTTGTTGTTGTTGTTGATGTTGGTGTTGGTGTTGGTGATGGTGTTGTTGTTGTTGCTGCTGCTGTTGTTGGTGTTGTTGTTGGTGTTGGTGTTGGTGTTGTTGATGTTGGTGTTGGTGTTGTTGTTGTTGCTGCTGTTGGTGTTGTTGATGTTGTTGTTGTTGTTGCTGCTGCTGCTGGTGTGGTTGTTGTTGATGTTGTTGTTGTTGAACTCTCATTTTTGAAGAATGATTATTGTTGATCCCCCCCGTCCGGTACACATTGTTTTTTCGATTGAAGTGCCCTTCCCGGGGCTCGCACCCTGTTTTTTATCAGGGAAAGTCTTGAGGGTCAAATTGTGTCGTTGGCCCTTGGTTTACAACAACAACGGCTCCGGCTTGAGACTTCCTCACAATTTAGCCAGGACCCCCGCTGTCGCCCGAGATTTCCTCGCGTTTTATTCAGGAATCGCGCTCTCGCGTGGGACTTCCTTAGAATGTATTATCCCGGCGCTCTGGAGTCGCGCTCTCGCTGGAGACTTGCTTGCAATTTACTGAAGAATAGCGCCCTTGCATTGGAATTTCTTGCAATTTACTCTAGCGCCGCGCTCCCGACACCCAGGCACCCAGGAGTCGCGTTCACGCTTAGGACCCCCTCACAGATTACATAGGAATCGGGATCTCGCTGCCCTTCGTGGCCCCGTTGCAGCCCTTCGTGGCTCCCTCGCTTTGTTTCGTGGCCCCGTTGCAGCCTTTCGTGGCCCCCTCGCTGCCCGTCGCGGCCCCGTTGCAGCCCCTCGTGGCCTCCTCGCTGCCCTTCGTGGCCCCGCTGTCGCCGTTTGTGGCCCCTCACTGTTCTACGTGGCCCAGTTGCTACCTTCAGTGTCCCCGTCGTTGCCTTCTGTGGCCCCGCATGATCTGCCCCTCGTGGCCCCCGATCGTTCGCGCCCGTCGTGGCCCCATGCGCATGCCCTTCGTGGCCCCGTTGTCGCCCTTCGTGGCCCCCTTCCTGCCCTTCGTGGCCCCGCTGTCGCCCTTCGTGGCCCCCTCGCTGCCCTTCGTGGCCCCGTTGCTGCCCTCAGTGGCCCCGTCCTTGCCCTCCGCGGCCCAGTATGCGTACGCCCTTCGTGGCCCCCGCACGTTCGCGCTCTTCGTGGCCCCATACGCATTCCCTTCGTGTCCCCGCTGTCGCCCTTCGTGGCCTGCTTCGTGTCCTTGTGGCCCTGCTGTCGTTCTCTCTCGCTCTCGCTTTCGCTCGTTGTCGTCGTCGCCGTCGTCGTCGTCGTCGTCGTCGACGTCGCCGTCGTCGTCGTCGTCGTTGTCGTCGTGGTCGGTCCCCTGTCCGTCCCTCTTGGGGTCGGGTCGACGGTCCGCGGCCGCCCCGCCGATCAGCGCTGCCGCTGGCCAGGCCGACGGTCTGCGGCCGCCCCGCCGCTTGCCTGGGCCCGGCCTGCAGGGAAGAAAGGTATACCCCCCAAAGGGGGTTCGATCGAAGACGAAGAGGGCGGGTATCGAGGGTTTGGGAAATCCGCGTTATTGGACACTCGAGCAGATCAGGGCGAACAGTCTGGAACTTGTTGTTGTTGTTGTTGTTGTTGTTGTTGTTGGCGTTGTTGTTGTTGGTGGTGGTGTTGTTGTTGTTGTTGTTGTTGGTGTTGTTGTTGTTGCTGCTGCTGTTGTTGCTGTTGTTGAATTCTCATTTCTGAAGAATAAGTATTGGTGATCCCCCCCCACCGGTGCATGTTGTTTTTTCTCAATCAAAGTGTGCCCTTCGACGCTTGCGCCTTGTTTTTTGACAGGGAAAGTCTTCCTGCTCAAATTGGGCCCCTGGCCCCCGGGTTACAACAACAACGGCTCCCGCTTGAGACTTCTTTACAATTTAGCCAAGACCCCCGCTCCCGCCCGAGACTTCCTCGCATTCTATTCAGGAATCGCGCTCTCGCTTGAGACTTCCTCACAGTTTATGCAGGAATCGCTCTCCCAGCGCTCTGGAGTCGCGCTCTCGCTGGAGACTTGCTGACTTGCTTGCAACTTAATGAAAAATGGCCTTGCGTTGGAATTTCCTGCAATTTGCCCTAGCGCCGCGCTCCCGACACCCAGGCACCCAGGAGTCGCGCCCGTTGTGGCCCCATACGCATTCCCTTCATGTCCCCGCTGTCGCCCTTCGTGGTCTACTTCGTGCCCTTCGTGGCCCTGCTGTCGTTCTCTCTCGCTCTCGCTTTCGCTCGTCGTCGCGTCGTCGTCGTCGCCGTCGTCTTCGACGTCGTCGTCGTCGTCGTCGTCGTCGTCGTGGTCGGTCCCCTGTCTGTCCCTCTTGGGGTCGGGTCGACGGTCCGCGGCCGCCCCGCCGATCAGCGCTGCCGCTGGCCAGGCCGACGGTCCGCGGCCGCCCCGCCGCTTGCCTGGGCCCGGCCTGCAGGGAAGAAAAGTATACCCCCCAAAAGGGGTTCGATCGAAGACGAAGAGGGCGGGTATCGAGGGTTTGGGAAATCCGCGTTATTGGACACTCGAGCAGATAAAGGGCGAACAGTCTGGAACTTGTTGTTGTTGTTGTTGTTGTTGTTGAACATTATTCCTTCTAAAGAATTATTATTGTTGGGACCCCTGGTGCGCGACCTCTGCGCCGCGCCTAGGCCGCAGCTACATTTTCATCATTTTTTCGCGAAAGCTTCAGAAAAGTGGATGAGCTCCGGATCCGGTTTTTTGTTGACGCTCGTTTTCCCTTGCAAAAAACAATAGAAAATGAAAATTCTTGTTTTTACTTGATCAAATTGCAAGAATCCCTTGCAAAAAATAAGGTAAAGTGGACATTCGTGCGCGCAAGACGAAATCCTTCCAAAACCTTAGGTTTCGTAACGATTTTAACATAAAAACATCAAAAACCCAATGGTTTTCTCAGAAAAAATTGTCAAAATGTCCTTCCGCGCGCTCTTGCGGATTCCTAGGAAACCCACCAGATTTTAAACATTTCTGTTAAAAGGGCCTTTGCGAGGAACCTTTTCAGGTGCTTCGACCTTCTGCAACAACGGTTGCGAGCCTACGAGGGCCACCATCCCTTGCAAAAAATGACACGAAGTGCACATGCGCGCGGCCGCCGCGCGCGCGTGCCGAAATCCTGCCAAACATAATGTGATTTCAATAATTTCAAGATGCGATGTTCCGAAAACATATGCAAACGCAAGACTTTCTCATCCGAAAAATATCAAAATCCACCCGCGGGCTCTTCATGAATCTTTAAAACCCAAGATGGCCCCAAGAGGCGCTCAAGATGGCCCCAAGAGGCGCCCATGAGGCCGCAAGAGGCGCCCAAGATGGTCCCAAGAGGCCCCAAGAGGACTCCAAGAGGCCCCCAAGAGGTTCCAAAGAGGCTCCAAGTTGGCTCCAAGAGGCCCCCAAGATGGCCCCAGGAGGCGTCCAAGCGGCTCCAAGAGTCCTCCGGGAGGATCCAATAAGCCCCCAAGAGGCCCCAACATGCTTTCAAGAAGCCCCCCAAAGCCTCTCAAGAGGACCCCATGCGGCGCCAGGAGGCTTCCCCCCTTCCCCAAGAGGACCCCCAGCGGCCCCAGGAGGCTTCCCCCCTTCCTCTCACGCTCATATCCGTAGCCATCTCGGATCAAGGTATCGCCTGTGTTCTTGGATCATGGCTTTGACGGCGAAAGACCTTCACGAGCAGTATGGCGCAGAGCTGTCCCGGCCTCCCTTGGCCGACTGCGAGAGTGCGTATTATTTGCATCAGGCGCTCGCGGCAAAGGGTATCAATGCCAGTCACCAACACTTTTTAAACATTTCTGCCAAACGGGCTTATGCTAGCAACCTTTTCGAACTTCTGCAACAACGGTTGCGCACCTGCCAGGGCCATCATCCCTGTCAAATAATACCATGCGGGACACATTCGTTTTTTCTTCGCGCGCGCACGCCGTCGTCGTCGGCCGCGGGGCCCTGAATAGTAGCCACGGTCGTCCGCATGCCACGAAGTGAAGTGTCCGAACGTCATAGGGCGGGAAGCTGGGTGTGGGTGGTGGCGAAGAGTCGTTTGGAAATTTGGTAGAGCTTGAACCGGCCCCCCCACAAAGTGGGGGTATTGCCCGCCTCCTATGAAAACCCTGGCACTGGTGAGAACGGAGTGTCCCCAGTCTTAAATGATTGTTGTTGTTGTTGTTGTTGTTGTCGTTGTTGTTGTTGTTGTTGTTGTTGTTGAGTTTTCGCTGTTGAAAAATAATTATTTTGATCCCCCCGA